GTTGCCTATTGTGGGTAATATCCTTAGAGGCATAGAGCTCATGCAGCAAATATACACAGCCAAATATACCGTATAGCAGAAATTTTTTGTGCCCCAAATATTTAGCGGATCCGTTCAAAATTCAATTTCGTGGCTTTAATTTTTGTGGTTTTCTACTTTTTGACCATCTTGAACCGTATTAAATCAATTTTTGTGGATTTTGAAAAAAATGAGAAATCCACGAAAATTTTGCGCCACAAAATTTTTCTGCTATACGGTAATCACATTGATCAGGCCTGATTCAGCCTGAATCTAGGCCTAATATCAGGTATGGACCATGAAATTTGGGCAATCAGTCCTGATACAATCATGGAGTCAGCCATGCTAGTGGTACAGGCATGATAAGCATCTATACTGGATCAGGCCAGACCAACTTTCATGATTCAGCAATGATAGCCAGCAGGGCTGTACCAGTACTGATATCACGCTTGAGTTGAGTCATTAATTTTTGGCAACATTTTGAATCAGACCTGAATATATTTGGCTGTGTACTGAAAGAATAACAGTTATTATTAGGGTTGCACCGATATTGTGATCGGCTTATCAGATATTGGCTTATCGGCCTATTTTGAGAATATCAGTTATTGGTTATAAAAAAGCTACTGATTCTGATGTTATAGCATGTTGTATTGCGCATGCGCAGTAGGATAATTAGTCACGTGTAATGTTATTATAATAACATGTTAGTAATTACTTAATAAACGTCATTGATATTGGATCGGTTATCGGTCTTTATCAGCAATAGAATATCGGTTATTGAAATATCGGTAAATTTCTGTATTGGTGCAACTCTAGTTATTATAATTCCTTTATCAATTTTAAAGTTGGGGTGTGAACAGTAAAGTGGGGATAAAATGCAATTATAATAATTTCATGTATTGCAACTGTATTTTTTTAGGACTATATCGATCTAAAAGCATTATATTTCTCTATAAACCATATTTTTCACCTCTTGCATCAGCCAATCCACTTTGATTACATGTTTCCTAAAGACTTCATCTTTTATATTGCCTTTGCTTATACCAACTATTAGTAAGTTGTCATAAATTTACAATACACATTAAATTCATTCTAATAATCATTTTTGAGCTAACTTTAACAATTATAGAACTGAGTAAAAATTTGTGTGCCATGCAGCAAATGAAGTACATGTAGTAACTGAATTAATGCAAAAACTGCATCCTAATTTTAAAGCAACTCTGGTATAATATATATTGTTTAAAATGGTATCTGTGAGCAGATAAAGTAATGATGACAATCATGACATTTTATTATTCTTTTGTTTTTAGCAATGAATTTGTAGAGAAAAATGCTCATGTAGTTATGCTTCAGTATTTGCATAAATTAAAAAATGTCCCTATAGAGACTGTAGCAGAGCAAGTGACATGCTTTTTAACACTGTGAGTTGCAATAATTGTTCCCATTGAATATAATACTTTTGTTCTCTGTTAATTTTAGTGGAGATTTTTTAGTTAACATGGGTGGTATAATTATAAATAATGTATGCAGTGTTTTTGACCACACCGTAAAATCATTTTTAAAGCATTGTGAATTGTATGTGAAAGCAGGAGGAGTTTCTGAATTGTTTCATGTAGCTCTTTTATCAAGTAGGCACCTGTTAAAAATATTTTAATCCTTTATGTACTTTAGTATCTATTGCTGTCAAGATTAATAATGCTGATAAACTAAAATCAACAAAAAAGTATAATGATATTTGGAACAAGCGATTGACTGAGGTACTTAAAATTATAATACAATGTTGCTTATAACTTAATTTTCATGACTAAATCCAAAAATAAATTCGTACATCACACACAAGCTATGACCATTATTTAGCGATAAAATGAATATGATTACAATAATGATATTCATTCATAATAGGGCTGGACGATAGTATCGATAGATATAGTTGCACTATCGTGATAGTATACAGCTAGCTACCGTGATAGTGATACTGTTATTCTAACTATCATGATAGTTATCACATGTGCATGGAGCATGCGCATAAATGAATAAAATGACACCTGCCAGCTGTAATCATCTTGTAAATCAATAGCAACTTCCACTCATAGAGCGGTATGACTTGCTAGCACAGCTTGATTCAAGGTTTTCACTATCCCTGCTACATTAGCAGCATGTGAAGTGGGACAGTGTTTCTCATTGAAAATTTGGATTAAATAAATTTAAATTAGCTAGTATTATTATGCATCAGTGCATGTATAATGTGAGTATACAAATTAATACATGCATTAGTTAAGTACAATGACTACATCCTTAAATAAATCATTGTATTTCGACATGTAAACCCTATGGCTGAACTATCGTGATATGTTCACTATCGTGATATTAGAGTTAGAAAATATCGTGACAGTGATATTACTACTATCGCCCAGGCCTAATTCATAATAAATAAAATTTTCCTATACGGTATCCACCCACAATGTAAATTACTGACAGCAAGAAGGCCTCGAGATCAAAAGAAAA